TATTTTTTCGTAAAATTGCTTCAACATATAAAATTTGTTGTTTTCTGTAAATAAAAATAAAACGTGCACATATCGTCGTTTTTTACTGTTTTCATTGGTTTCAAGATTGCGACTCAAAACAACCTGATTCATAGTGACGTAAATAAGACGCATATTACATTCTTATCGAATAGGCAAATTTTGAGTCACTTTCATTTACTTTAAAATGTATAAAATATTGAAAACAGTAAAAAAAACATCAAATAAGGTAATAAGTTATGATTTTATGTATATTCTAAACGATTCAAGAAGGTTTTATAATATTTTACATTAATTTTTATGATTACAGAGTTTTGCTCTCAAACAATTTAGTTCTTGATTCAAATAACTTATTAGTAAGTACTAGTTTTTACTGCTAATAAAAAATCTATTACTTTTACGATGAAAACATGAGTACATTATTTTTTTTTATGAATTAATTGCAACACAGAATTTTTCCTTCGGTTTATTAAAAAATATAAAAGCGGTATTGTTGTGTGCTGAGTAAATGTGCAGGAAGCTCTAGTATTTAGTAAGTAGTGGAGGAAAAGTTTAGGAAAAGTTGAAGGAAGATAATGGGTATTCTTAATAATATTCTCCTGCTCCGTGGCCATTGTCTATTTCAGGTAGGGCGTTATCTGGAATGAGACCATTTTCCGCATTAAGCGAGCCGGGAAAATACTGTAGTGTGTGATTTAGAAATATATCGGGGCAGTTTATTGTTTGGCCCGTTTTCTCTCCCTTTCTCTAGTTCCGCCAGTTTTCCGGTGAAAAGGATACTGCTTTCAAAGGTGGGAACAGGAGGAAGGGGGAGGGAGACCTGCTGGGTCGATTGTCCTTATCGACAGCAGTAATACGAGTTTCGCACATTCTTGCAAGCTCCCACGAACAACGTTAGAAACAACAAATTTAACAACATTATACGGAACATTGCTTCGTCGGATGAATGCCGTTGATAAAATGTATTGCCTGCCATTTATTTGCGAAACTCGGTTTTATCCTGAGTTCGTTTGTGCACACCACTTCTATAATCCAGACACCCCTACCCCACACACCTCTTCGTCTATCCATACATTAAAGCAACACTTAAAAGCATAATAAACTTTATTACGCCACCCGCTGAGAAAGCGTATTGTATTTTTACATTAAACTTAATCTTCGTTACAAGGATAACTTTTTTTTAAGGATAGACACAAAACAGCTTCTTAACTAAAGAGTGCTAAATATCTCTAATAAAACTAAAGCACATTCCATGTTTATACCCTTTTTCACTTACTTCCCCATCACTGCTAATAGGTTGTATTCCTATTTATATACATTGCCTCACATTACAAATCAATTACTCCTTTTTTTCCAAACCTTGGAACATCTCATTTTCTTTTACTATTACAATCTTATTTCACTTTATTTTGCTGTACTTTAAAAAAAAGCCACTATGAACCCTAATCCAACATCAATTTGGCTAATATCTTATTTTCTAAATATTAAATTAAATTTTTTCCTTAAAAATATCTTAATCTTAATAGTTTATTGGAAAATTAAGAATTGGTCAACCAAATATAAAAAAATACTTTTATTATAAATTTAAGTAAATCAGTAACCGATGTAATTTTACCTATCATGTCTTATTTAAGCCTAATGTAACGCATATGAACTAACAAAATATTTTAAATATTAACAAGAAATATATATTTGTTCTTAAAACTATTTTTATAATTTGAAGTAAAGAATTGTAGTTTTTCCTTAGTTACATAATGACTAATCGCATGTGAATATTCCAGCATGGAACAGTTCAGATTCAATATAGTCCAGTTTGTCATAAACGATTGTTTTTCTTTTTCATTAATACAATAAAATCTCTTATTATGCGTTTTATTCCTATTTTTATTATATCCTGGATTAGTACGGTTTCAAACCGTCCTGGATATTGGCGGAACCGTTTACCCGGTCTATGCGAAATATTGCTGTATTGTTTCTTTATATATTTGGGTAAAAAATAACTATTAAACCAATAAAATACATTTATGTTAATACGATTAATTGAATTATGCATTTGCATCCGCAAACATGCGTGCACTAATTTATGGAAGCGTAGCGTAAATGAACAACATTTGGATGATTTTTAACACAACATCACATCATTTAGGAAAATAAACGAGTCGACGTGCAGTTGGGATTACCAGTGATGTGCGAATTTATGTGCAGATGATGATTTGCATCGACGAATTTCATTCTCTAATGCTACGCAACAAAATTATTTGTGAATTTTGAAAGAGCATTAGCACCAACGTTATGTTATGTACTGTACTGTGCCAACAGTCCCACAGTCATAATTGAAATCGTACATATCGATTGATCACTTTGCGTGCCTTCTAAATAGTTCACAAAGCGAGGGGGTTTTACCCCATTCAATGACGATATTCCCCCAATTCCCAAAACTAATCTGATATATTAAATACCGACGGAGAGTATCGACAAAGCCCGAAAAGATTAATTGGATTTAGGACAAGAATTTTGAATAATAAATTGCATTCAATTAAATAAACAATCTTGCACAGTTCAATGAAATATGTTAACATTATAATATATATATTATAACTAATTAAAAATCGAACTTATTATAAAAGCATTTATGAAATTTAAATAATTATCAGAAATAACTGAAATTTTATTTTGAATATATTTAATGCTTTATTATTAAACTATTTATTACATCGGAATAATGTCTTTTTATTTCATGTTTTATGTGCAATTATTATGTAATATTATATAGTTAACGTATCAATATTACGTAAATATTATGTCGAATTTTTATTGTTTCATTGTAAATATATTACCTTTTTACGGACCATAAAACGCACCCAAAATTTGAGTCCATTTTTCTAATTAAAAAGAAGCGTCTTACAGTCCAAAAAATACGATATTTAAGAACTGGAAGATATCGACTGATAATTTAAAAACTAGAATACATTTTGTATTTCACAAACATTATATAATCAAGCTTATCATTGTATTACGTACGCAAATTTAATGTCGGTTTTTTCATTAAAAAAAAATCATAAATATGTTATGTAATATACAAATGAGATGTAATCAAATATTTAATGGATCGCCATCGTGTTATTTGTGTTCGCAATTTTCTTTTAATGTCGACTTTTGATTGACGCTTTGAAAGATTCGTGAAGTTCCGGACGCGAGAGCTTTTGAGTTATTTCCTCGTAAATATAAACTCGGTAAGTAGGAATAAAGACGAGGGGATATTGCGAGGGGGAGAAAATAATGAGTCACAGAATCTCATCCATACTTATCTTAGTTAATACCCTCGGGGGGAAGATCCGAATTAAGGTGCAATCCACTACGAAACAATCAGAAGACAATTCGCAATTGCCAGGATTGTTTACCAAAGTCCTTTCATAAAGAGCACAAAGAAACACGAGAAAAAGCTGTCAATAGCACTTTTGTTCTATTGAAATAACATATTGTTCTTTTAAGACTTTTTGTGATTTTTTCTTTAACATATAAACCAAACTATTTTACTAAAAGTTTATATAGAGAAACATGAAAAAATGCAGAAATGAAGAAATTACGATGATTTATGTTAAGTGTTAGAACATATTACTATGATTTAACACCTTTTAATACACTTTAACTTAAATAAATTCAGTTAAATATATTTCCATCAATAAAAAATAAAAATTATTATTTATTACTAAATAAAAACATAAAGTGAAATTGTTCACTATTTAAGTCTTAATTAAAATTGAATTAAATGTATAAATCATATTTTTTTAATTATAAAACCAAAATTATTTTAATTGTGTATACACTATGTATTGGGTATATTATACAAATTATTAACAAGAAAATATATTTTTTCAATTCAATATGTTCAGTTTTATTGAAAATACTATTATCGAATATGAAAAATGATAAATCGGTTTATAAATTTCTACGAGAATGTAATCAGAAACACATTAAATGATAAAGCAATATTAAACGATCTTACTCCCATATTACTTAACAGCAGAAAAAAGTTTGTAAACGCTGTTTGCAAAAAAAAAGAAATGTATCCCATTCTTTCGCAACGCATTATAACTTGGAAACCGTAAAATCTAATATCCACATAAATTGTCGATGATTTGTATTGTAAATATCGATTCTCTTACGTCCCTATTCTTAATTCTCGATCCAGAAACAAAGAACATTGTTCTGGCAGTAATTATCCGAAACCATTGTCTATCACTCACACACAATAATCGTTTTAAAATTACACCGCAATGAACTTAATAGTTAGAGCATTAATTCTTATTTCATATTCTACCTTTCAGACAAATTGCCGATGATTCTCGTTTCACGAAAATATCAAATTGCCGATTATTCTCTTCACAGAAATATCCTGATATGCAAATTTAATTTAATACAACTCGGCTTCAGCGTAATTAGTTTGAATTTCGCTTAATTGCAACTGTTTAGAATTTAGTTTCAAATCATCCAGAAATTAATATTAATGCTATCAAACGTTTTGCCTGACGCATTCACCATTTATTACCAAATTTAATCGAACGATAATATTTTATGATGATCGTTATAATTCAATGCGATTTTTTTTTAACTTCAGATATTTGCTTTATCTCTTCCAATTTTTTTCAGTGGAATCGGGAAAAGTGCTGAAACGATCGGCGAAAGTTCGGAAACGCGTCAAGGCGAAATTTGAAAACTTTAATCCAATCAAATCCAATTCAATACGAGAGAAAGAATGGATTTAAAAATAAGGATTTTTTAAATAAATTCTTTTATAGTATTATTAAGTAAGAATTTAGTAATAAATTTTTAAATCAGAAGAAAAGAAAGAATTAATTCACGCTAATAAAATTAATATTTAAAAAAAAATTGTCATCTAAAACATGAAAAATAACTAGATTTCTTTTCTAAATCAATGATATATTCTATTAATTGCATGCATGTAAAACACAAATACTAACAATTTCTGAGGAGTCGTATCTGCAGTTCCAGTTTTTTTTTGTTTCCTCTATATTTTTTTTTGTATTCAATGTTTTGAAACGGAATGGATCGTCCACACAGTCACACGCTTTCCAGTGGGAAGGACGGTGTCGCGACGCCGGGTAGGATACTAAGCGTCGCGACGCTCCGCGCGGTTTTATATACGGCGCCACCCCCGCACTTTATCACTCCTGAAATTAGCTGCGCACGCATCGCATTTTTCACCTCCTTGCAGAAATCTTGTGGAAGGATTTACTTCTAAAAAAAAATAATACATTGAAGAAAGCCTTACTAATTACGCTGTGCTTAATTAAAAGACTATCGCATTTTATTTTCGGTTAATTAAAAAAATGTTTATTCGAGAAATTGTAGCAATGTCATCAATTTATTTAATTAATACTTCAGTTTTTAAGGAGCTTTTATCTTTTCCTATATTTATTTTACTCTATATTTAATTATTGCAACAATATAGAAAAGTAATTAATAAATAACAATCCAAAACTTTCAAGTTTGTTTAAATGAATTGATACGTTGTTGATTTAATATCAAATTAATATTTAAAACTTTATAATATTTAAAACTTTAAATATAATATCTTAAAACTTTAGATTTTTGAACATTTTTCTTGTTCTTGTTCATTAAATCCTAATATACTTATGTTTTAGTCACAAATATATTTAATTGATATGTTAAACTAATAATTTATCATTTTGATACTCACAAGTTTTTTGTTATGAAAAAATCAATAAAGTTTCTAAAACGTAACTTTAAGCTGTTCTTTCTTCTATTTTCAATCCTTTACCAGATTAAATCTAAATCTTATACCACATATTTCACTCCATGATACATCAATATTTTATTATTAGGATTTGTTTCTTAAGGTAAAGTTAGATTTTTTGTAAAAATAACATTGATTGGAATAAATTACTATAACACAACTCAACAAAATAACACAATAAGAAAATTTAAAACCAAATTGATTTGCTACAAAGGGCTAAAGTTGATACTTATTGTAAAATTTTAGACATTTTTATAATAAATCAAAATATCTAATCAATAAAAATGTTCTTCTATAATAAAAAAAGGCCAATAATATCTGATTTATTTCTTCTAATTTCTAATCATACAATCCATAGAAGTATTAAATAAAATAATTAATTAAATATCTTTACAAAAGTTTACCAAAAAAAGCATTAAATCAAGTAGAATTAAGTGTATTTTTATATTTGTATTGATTGAAGTAAACCAATTATTATATTTTATTGTCTATAACTGATTTCTCTTTTCATAAATTAAGCATTATCAAATAATTCATTGAAGCTAGATTTCGCATAGTGCGGCTTCGATCAGTATTGATTCACTACAGTATTATTAAGCAAAAGAAATATAACTTAAAAAAATGATTACAAGATATTACTTTTATATAAAAATGATTTGTTTTTTATTTGAATTATTCAGTAAAGTCTCTTTTAGTGCAGTTTATTTTGAAAGTCCTTGATTCGTCCTGTTTCAAACAGTCCGGGTTTTTGGCGGAACCGATTACCCGCACTATGCGAGGTGTTGCTGTATTATAAAATAATTCATTTTATGTACTATACATAAGTTAACATAACATCCATTCCAATTAAAGAAAATATTTTGTTTAAATTAAAAATTGATTAGTTTAATTAAATCAAAGAATTTTCTAAGAATTGAATTAAATAAATGTGCACGTGTCGTTTTCTCTATACAAAATGAAAGCTAAAAATAAACTTACCCCGAAGTTCAATCGATATCGTGTATACTAAATGTATCCTTTCGTTTCGTTTCTCAGACATTCCACGAATCGTGATTATATAATACGTTGAACCGTATTGTATAGTTTATATCTCGACCGGAAATTAAATTATATTTAGCAAACCGGGAAATCAAAGCGAAAATGCATTATAAAACAACGAGAAAGGTAAAACATAATGCTCCACGTATACACACATAAACTTACAAAGAGAAACGCAAACCGCCGCCTCTAATTAACAATAGGAAATTTCCGCAATTTCAAACTAAAACAAAGTGAATTCACAATTAAAACAAATAATAATTTATTGAAGTAGGTATGAAAAGTTATTTACAATTATAATGTAACGAAAATATAATCATAATATAATATTACATAATCATTTTAAATTAAAAATACAATAATTATAAAAGTTTTTTTTTGTAATCTGGGTAATATTGAAATAAATAATATTATTTTTATTAAGAAAACTAATATTTTTTTTTTTATAAAATTAAACAATTTTTGTTGCAAAACAGATTCATTTGAATGCACGTTGTTAAAGTTGAGACTTGAGTTTGGTGGACAAATAAAACGTTACGGTTTGTCATCGTCTGCTTGGAACATGTATAAAACGCAAATTTGTATTTCGCTCTGCATATTATATTAGTTTTTATATAACCTAATAAACTGCAACAACAAGAACTCTTCTGTTACAAATTTGCTATTTTTAAATGCGGCATTTAAATTAAATTAAGTTTATATGCAAATCTTAATTATTTCATTTTGCATCTCACTGTGCTCGTGATAAAACGGAATACCTCTGCTTTAAATATCCTACAATATTTTCAAAATATTATGGTTGCATTCATAAAAATATCTACAAATATTATTTTATTATGTAAAATCTAACAAAAGTTCGTTAAGTTGGCTAGAAAAAAACAAAATAACAATTTTAAAATTTCTAATTTTCATCCCTTTGTAATTTCTTTACATAATTTCCATTTATTTCAGTACATTTCTTAAGTCTGCTTTTGGGAGTTTTTCAACTTTTAATTAATGATCTCTTCATTGGAACTGAAGACTCTTTACTTCATTTATTTTCGTAAACAACCAGAAAACACAAGGCGCTAGGTCGGTAGAATATGCAACTGGACGAATTTCATTGATGCCAAAGAGCGCAATAAAATTGTTGGTTATTTCATTAGTGTGAGTGGTGATTTTTTATATCACGATCAAGCGACGAACTTCCCCTTTTTTTCTGGTTTCCCAACTAATTTTTGAAAATTTTAGTTATCGTCTGACCAGTATCAAGTGAAATAGCAGCTATCACTTTTACCCTGGTAAAATAAATCGACATCATCACTTTTGTTGATGATTTTTGTTGTCTTGCTTTAATGGAGAGGATTAGCAACTTCTGCGGTCATATTCAATCAATATTCATCACCAATTATGATTTTACTAAAAGTGCTAGAATCTCCATTTTCAAAATTTTTCAAGAAATATTCGACAAAACGAACACGTGCCGTCAAAATCTGTAGAGAATGATAAAACTTCTTGAAATTTGCATGAAATATCATTAGACTTTAATAAATTGAGAAACAACTTTTGTTTTTCAGAAACAAATAAATTAAAGCCAACTTGTTTGTTATTTAATATTTAGTGGAAATTTTATCCTGAAGTTAGAATTTGTTAAGTATTAAAAAATAATTAATCATAAATAATGATTGATTCGAAGTTTTTAATTACTTTAAACACAAGTAGGTAGTCCGTGGCTCTGGATTTGCTTAAGGTTCTTTGAATAAATAATTGCAGCTCTTTTTGTTATTAAACGTTGACCCACATTTCATAATTGGTAATCTTAACTATTCACTTAAAAAATGTTGCCAATACTTGACTTAAACTTTTTATATATTATTAGTTTAAATTTATTTTATATGAATGAGCGCTTTTCTACAATCAAAAAATTGTAATGTAAAATTAGATAAAACTTTATCAATGAATTGTTATAAAACCAACCGCATCGCAAACATGAAATAAAGCCGTAAAATAATAATTGCAAATTAACATAAAGCAGCAATTCCATACTGAATAAAGTTCTGCGGTAAAGTGAATTTATTCTTTTTATAAATCTCCATAAATCTACTATAAATTATAAATATGATTATTCTATGTAATCCCAAGCTCAATGAGCGGATGAGAAATTGTTAAGGATATCTAATAATACGTTTTTGTTGGGTGGTGAAAAATAAAGAAAATCATCGAAGTTTTACGAAAGAGGTGCTGCGCAGTAGTTCATTAATTGGATTAATAATTTAAATGGGTTGAGGGGGTTTGTCTATAGGGTGTTCCAATGGGTGTGTGGAGTGGGAGACGACGGGGGTTGGTTTGACTTTACGGTGCACAGACACAACTTCGTACCAAACTTCGTCCCCGTAATTTCGTGACAATTAAAACTTTCCGTGGAGCACCTATTAAAAACGCTGTGTACATTTTTTTTTTGCTCGTAGGCAATTAAATGCACAAAATACTTGGAAAAATGAAAAAAGTTCAAATTAAACCTGTATTGCATTAAAAATATACTAACTGAGTTAATATTTAATTGACAAGTTTTGTTATTGCGGATTTCATTTGAAGAATTCAAAGAAATTAGTTTTTGAAAATTTCATCAAATAAACGAAATTATTTCAACATTACCAACTACAAAATAATACAATATAAACTAACTACTAGACAGCTCACATGCATTACTAGCTGCTAGGATACTGAGAGAATTGCACGTTAGATGAATCATCCACATGAAAATGTATAAACATCATTTAAGAATAAAAAATGTTTATTTAAAACAATCCATTTACGTCGTCAAGGTATTAAGCTTTCAAAGTATTATTACATAAACCACAAATGTATTGTATATGGAAAATTCCAAACATAACATATTTATTAGTCAATATCGCAAGCCCGACAACCGAAATACCGTTTATCGTAATCCCGACGTTCGAAATCCCGACTGTATCGAAATCCTGACTATATAAAAATCTCGACAAACATAATCCCGACTATATCGAAAATTTCAACAATAACATTTTTAAATTATTTCGGAGCGTAGTCATATTGTGCTACATTTTTATTATTAATAACAATAAATTACTAGTAATTTATTTGATTTTGTTGAATTATTCATAGTAAACCTTAACATTATGAAATAATCTCAAATACAATTAGATTATAATTTAAAAGTGACTACGATCCGGAATAATTTAAAAATGTTATTGAAGACATTTTCGATATAGTCGAGATTTTAATATAGTCGGGATTATGGTTGTCGGGATTTCGATACAGTCGACATTTAGAACGTCGGGAATTTGCTTGACGGTATGTCGGTTGTCGGGTTTGCGATTGCCACCGCATATTTATAGCTACTAGATTGTGTTATTCTCTATTTCCTTAAAAAAATGTATACCACACGCATAGCGAATATTTCGCTTAACAAGCAAAATTAATTGTAAGGAAAATGACTCGCATAACGAGTGACGATGAGAAGAGCAGTTCCAGATTACGCGCCTGCACATATTATGTGCATTTTTTAATATGTTTCACTATACAAGTAAAAATCCGGAAATTTTGGAACGGATTAAACTCGTTAAGCGAGGTTCCTCTGTATATGCAGTAACTATAATATTTTTTGTATTATTTCAAAGTCATTATCATTCACAATTTATTTATTTAAACGGTAAAGAATGGAAAACAAAATGTTTAGTACTTCTGTAGTTTTACTGATAAATGTTAAACGGTGTATAATGGCACGTTATCAGTGCGGTTTGAAATAACGCGTGTTTGTAATTATCAAAAAGCATATACCATGAATGGCGCACGAATATAAACCAAGTACTGAATACATAAATTTGATTTTCCCTCCCAATTATATGGTTATCTGCAGTTATTGTGCGCTCAATGAGTCGATCTCGTAAAATTCGTATAAACACGGCTTTATGAAATTTGTGTGAATTTCTGTGATTGCATCAGTGAGGTTTTACGTGAATCCATAATTTGGAAAACGAAAAGGTTTGATTTTTTTTTGTAAATATTTCCTAAATCTTATATTAAGAAAAATAAACATTACTTTTTCTATATATAGTCATGACGTACAATATTTCGTCATTTTAATATTTTATTTAACAATATTTATTGGCCCATTTAGGACCAAAGGTCATTTTAATATTAGTTCAATAAGTTCTAATAATTAATTCTATAGCTTAGAATAGTAAATAAAGATTAATCAATATATTAAATATTTTAATTACAAAATAGTAACATTTTTGTATTAAAAATGTTTAATTATTATAAATATATCAGAATAAAGAATTATATGATGTAGAACCAAATGTTAATAAAATGTATATACATTTTTTGTTGAATATATTCTAAATTTTGGAGATAATGTGAAGTTATTTGGTAAACATTACTGAATTTTGAAGTGCTTTATGATAAAATAATGTACTTTGCTTAATAAATAATGCGAATTCCGTTATCTATGATCGGTAATACATAATATTTATTTTAAAATGTTTGTAAATTTGGAAATTGTATGTAGTTATTTTGAAAACATTAATAATTAACTATATTTTTGTTGGGTCTATATCGCAAGACCGACAACCGAAAGACCGTCTATTGAAATCCCGACGTTCGAAATCTCGATTGTATCGAAATCCCGACGTTCGAAATCCCGACTGTATTAAAGTCACGACGCTTGAAATCCCCACTACCATAAAAATGTTATTGTAGAAATTTATAATAATAAAAGACACTGACGGGATTTCGATATAGTCGGGATTTTGATTGTCGTGATTATGATAGTCGGGATTTTGACATCGTCGGGATTTCGATATAGTCGGGATTTCGAACGTCGGGATTTCGATATAGTCGGGATTTTGAGCCAGCTTGATTACGAACGTCGGGATTTGGATACATTTGGGATTTCGATACAGTCGGGATTTTGATACAGTCAGGATTTCGAACGTCGGGATTTCAATAGACGGGATTTCGGTTGTCGGGCTTGCGATTGCCACCGATTTTTGTTTACATATAATGTTTAAAAAAAAAATGATATACTTATATACAGGGCCGCAGTAAAGAAATATCTAATTTGCGTCACTGCCTAAAGAAATCAAAGGAGCCAATATTTAATTTGCGCCCCAATTCTCTCAAGAAATCAATAATAATACCATTTTTTAAAAACTTGTGCCATTGGCGCCACCACAAATGATATGTTTGGAAACGTAATTTTATCGTCCGTGTTGTGTCGCTGTTTATGTAATAAATTGAAGGAATTGCGTAATCAGTAAAAGACAAATTTAAAAATGTGTCATAGATTATTTATGTGGAACACCCTGTAAATAAATGTAGGTAATGCAGGGATCTTAGACATCAAATGTCAGTCGTCGTGACGTTTCGTGCATATTGCAAGTGTCAGAAAATCGTTCGCATGAAAACAATGAGAATGGATGAAAACAGTGATGTAAAAAATGATAATTGATGCAAGCATCAATATGTTTTAGAAAGTAGAAAGCGGACAGTCCGATGCATTGAACGGCGATGCACTAAATGAACACCAATCTCATAGACCAAAGAGGTGCATACCAAGTCCAGTTGGATTAGAAACTGAAATGTCTGGAGTTTTTGGCTTCAGCAGAGAAGCCATCAGAGTTAAAGTAAAAGTAAGTCGCTAACAGTAGTGTTTACAATAATACACAAGAATAAAAAATGTATTTACTAATTCATGTTTGTACAGAAATTTGAAGGAAATACCTCACCAGAATTTCGAAAATTCAGTGTTGATCCACAGATAACTTCGTTTGAGGTTCTCCAAAGCATCTTAGGAAAGGCATTTGATATAAAGGGAGAATTTACAATATGTTATCGGTTGTTTGATGCCAATGGCCATGAGACTTATATGCCTTTACTCTCGGATTGGGATTTGGATGCTGCATTTATCAAGTAACATTCTTTATAACTGTCAAAATTTAGTATAAATACAAATCTTATTTATTGCAGGGAACATAATATATCTTTACAAACAAATACTGAACCATGTTTGTGTCTTAGAGTAGATTTAAAAACGTTTGAAGAATGTACTGATGAATGGGAATTGAAACCTAACAATGTGCCGATAATAACTCAAATCAGAAATGCGAATAGTGAGACAGTTAAGTCTTCCCCTAGATTACATGGAATATTTAATCAGGTTTTTTTAATTTTAGTTTTTATTAATTTAAAATGTGTTAACAATTTAATTTTGCAGATGGGAAAGACTTTGAATATGGTGAAAGGTGCATTCAATTTTGGAGAAGATGGATCTTCTTTGCAACCCCCAAGACCTCCATTAAGTGATACTGAATTTAGGAGGTTCTTAGATCCTGTAGGACAAATTTTACACACAAAAGAGTTACGTTCTGTAATATATTTGGGGGGCATTGATCACAGTCTGAGGAAAGTGGTTTGGAAGTTTATTTTGAATGTGTATCCTGATGGTATGACTGGTAAAGAACGCATGGATTACATTAAGAGGAAGGCTGCAGAGTATATGGGGTTGAAGGAGTCTTGGAAGAAAGCTATAGCTCAAGGACCTGTGGTTGGGGAGTTGGCCTACACTACCGGAATGGTAAGGAAAGATGTCTTACGCACAGATAGACACCATCCATTCTATGCCGGAAGTGACGATAATCAAAATATTGCTGCCTTGTTCAATATTTTAACGACGTGAGTTATATTAGTGTAAGTGAGATAATATTTTCATGAATTATTCTTTTTCAGATATGCCTTGAATCATCCGAAAGTCAGTTATTGTCAAGGCATGAGCGACTTAGCGTCGCCTCTTTTGGTAACAATGGGAGACGAATCTCACGCTTATATCTGTTTCTGTGCACTCATGCAACGATTGCATATGAACTTTATGATCGACGGAATTGCAATGACACAAAAGTTTACGCACTTGGCTGAAGGCCTTTTATTCTACGATCCGGAGTTCTACAATTACCTCAAAATACACCAAGTAATTTCAATTTTTTTTTATTCCGCAGAATTGATACTATTTTATATTGTATTTTCAGGCAGATGATTTATTGTTTTGTTACCGTTGGTTATTACTTGAAATGAAGCGCGAATTCGCATTCGATGATTCATTACGAATGTTGGAAGTATTATGGAGCTCTTTGCCTGCAGAACCCCCTACAACAGAATTGAAGTTGTTCGATGTTCAATTCCAATTTCCAGTAATAACTACACCACCGATAAGTCCGCTGGTAAAGACCCCACGCGAGAACCCATATACTAAAGTATGTGCGCTGCGGCGACAAAGTAGCTCAATTTCTTTAGTAAACTATTCTGGGAAAAAGGCACAACCAGTTCGCAGGCAAAATCATAGTTTGGACGACTCTATGTGTAGAAGTAGGAGTATAACATTAGAGAAGAAGCATCAAAGTTTAGATGATAACGTAATTCCAAAACACTTTGAATTCCCAAAGTTCGGCGAGCTGAGACCTCGTTCGGTTTCACCGCTGGAACAGAAATCCGATTCCGTGATTTTAAACAATAGAATCAACCAAAAAATCGGCAACAAACCAAAAAGTCTCTCCTCTAGCATGAGCAACTTAATTAAGAGGCAAGGACATTTCAGGGATTTGAAAGAGAAGTTAGGGATGTTCGCATCTTTGGATACGCTGGAAACCACGAAAGAAGAATCCGAAGCGAAACCCGCGAAAATGGTTAAAAATCTGAACGAGTTTCTCAATTTTGCGAAGAACACGAAATTGAGACCCAAAATTATGCTTACCAAGTCCAGCTTCGACGATTCCGAGTCTTCTAGTTTTGACAAAACATCTTCCCGCGTTTATTCTTCCAGTTGTGACGACACTTTCGACGAGTGTAGTCCGGACGATTCTCAAGAGTATTTCCCGATGACGACTTCCGTGACGCGAGAATTGCGAATTGAATTGGAAAACCTGGATAGGCAGGTTTTTGGCAATAAATACACTGAGCGATTGATCGAATCTCCGAAGAAACCCGAAGAAGTGGAGAAAGTCAACGTGTTCATTTGGGAAAATCCTCTTCATCAAAGTCCCAACGTTGCTAAAAACGAATTCATTCATACGCCCGATGAACAAGCGGATCTGGATTACGATCACGATGCACAAATTGTGGATGAAAAAACTAAGACTGTTACGCCTATCAAAATCATACATTCCACATCTGCAAGACCGCACCCAATAAAATTAATAGAGCAATGCAGAGTTGATCCGCTGCAAGAGAATGGTACAACCATGATGAATTCCTGCGAAGAGGTGTCGGAAGGAATCAAGAGTTCTGGAAATTTACCTTCGCCGAAGGAGTTTGGCGGTGGGAATCCGTTTTTAATGTTCCTATGTATAACGGTTCTTCTTCAACATCGTGATCATATTATCGGCAAAGCAATGGACTACAACGAGATGGCTATGCATTTCGACAAGATGGTTCGTAAGCATAACGTCACGAAAGTTTTGAATCAGGCTCGACAGATGTACACGAGATACATCAAGCAACATAATTTAGCCCAACAGAAAGTAAATAACAAAGAAGATTGTTAATTTTTCTTTTCTTTCCGAGTTTTCCTTACTTACAAATTGAGCTGCCATTAGAATTACACACATTATTTTTACCTGAGCATCGTTCTAATTACATTTCAACTAAGGGTAGCCCAATTATACGCACTTAAGCTTATATAAGAGGACACTAGCTATAGCATAAACCATTTTATTCTATGCGTAATGTTCTCATATATAGACCGGACATATACTTTTTCTGTGATAATTTTCTGTTAATGGGATTTCTGAAACAGTCAATAATACAATACAATTAATTTCTACTTATTTATTATTTAACTTCGACGACGTGAAAACTCCATGTGTACTTGAATGATGAAAAAAAATATATACTGAAAAAATGTGATATTCGCGAAACACGGAAAATATAGAAATATTTAAGAGCAAAGTTTAAGAAAGTATTAACTAAGGCTGTATTTCTTTTTGTTTTATTTATTTTTATTGCACTCTGCAGAAACTGTTATTATATTAAATTGTTGCAAAAACCCTTCTCTCCCGAATACAATTACGTTTCTTTATATGGATTGGTCAATTGGAAATAAATGATTCAGAATAAAATTCCTTCTATTTTATAACACCCCCATTTAAACCTTATTAGGAACAACTTGAAAAAAGAAACAAGTCTGACAAATCTTGATCAATTGAAAGGAAACTTAAATAATACTAATACATTATATAAACCTTGTGAATAAAATTAACACATTAAACAAAGAACAAGGACATTTTTTTATTACAATTAATTTATTGTTTGATATTATTTCGGTTGTTTCAAAATTCAAGTCAACGTCATGAAATATTCTAAATGCATAAAGAATACTTAATTTGCATATAATAGTCCAAACATAGAATGTACATTGTCCTTATAAAAGTTACAAATTGATATTTAAAGTTTTTTTTAAGTGCGTATTTATCAAGATTTATCTAACTTTTATTGAATAATTATTTTTCGTTTATAATAACTAGAGTTTATACTTATTTCATCAATCGCTACTTTACGCGAAACTAAATACATTACAATTTACTAAATCTAATCATGAGTGGAATATGAAATGAGTTTATATTTATTAATATTCTGTGCGTTACTCCAAGGATATTAAATGTTGGAAATAACCATTAGAAAATTAAGTCGCTGATTGCCGCACGTTAAGGACATTACTGAAAATGTTCTTTGGAAAAAAAATAAATCAACATATCTTCCAATGCCCCACGTACATAATTTTGGATAAGTATAAAAACGGTTCCATAATTCGATACAGACATCATTCACTAGTCACCCAGTCAAGTGAAAAGCAAAATGAAATTCTTCGTATTATTCCTCGTCTTCGTTTCTGCCCAAGCGGCTAGAATTAAGTTCGCTAGAGTTGAGGCTCCATATCCAACAGCTGGTTATCCTCAAGGACCATCATTGAATCTACCAGGAGAGTACGGACCACCAGAAGACGCTTATGGATCTCTAGGATCATCTTCCGAAAAACCTGTTGACGCGTACGGTACCCCGGCAAACGGTGCTAATCCAGAGGATGCTTATGGATCACCAAACAATCCTGAAGATGCTTATGGGTCACCCAATAAACCAGAAGATGCTTATGGAAAACCTGAAAGTGCATCTGAAGACCCTGAAGATGCTTATGGAACTCCAGAAGGGCAAAAACCGACAACTGAAAAGGTAGATATTGAAGCAGGTGAAGAAACCGATTTGCCTGCTGGAGATAACATTGCAGTATCCAACGCTGTATCCAATGGCGAAAGAAAATCTCAGAAGTTGAGGAACGGTAAAAGAGTAGAGAACGTAAATGTTTATTACGTTTACACTCCTAATGGATTAATTCAATATTCGCGTAATCCAAGTCCTTCAGCCGAACTGAAAAACGCCTATACATCGGGAGTATACTACCAAGATGTTCAAAATCCCATCTACTCTTTCGCTCCTGAAAACTACTTTTAAGATTTATTAATATACAATTGTACCTTCTTTATAAATATTGTGTCATAAATTAATTAATAAAATAAATAATTAATGCTATTTCAGTGTTTATTGTATATTGTTACTTACATTTTCCATTAATATTTATAATACAGGAAAAAAAACATGAACCAATCAATATTACAAGGTATTTTCTCTAAGAAAATATCAAAATGTCAGGAAGAAATTTCTATTTAAAACAAAAGAAAATTAACATACAACTATAAATATGTTTTATTTACAATTATTTTACATACATTAAGAAGAGATTATTGAAAAATATACATCAAAATGATTATTTGAAATATATTTCAATATTACAATTAAAATAGATATATGTATTTATATATATAAAAAAGGTAATAGTTGATATTTCAGTCAGTGTAATTGCTAAAACTGTATGTGTTAACTTAAAATATTGCTCTCCATTGTGGGCCATTCAATACTATCCAATTCTTTGCCGTTCGCCATTAAATATTTCTTGATAATGATTTGCAGGGCGCAACGGGCAGCCCGTTCCTCCGTCAACTGCGAGGACAACATTTCCATGTTGCACTCTACGTTCTTAACTTTATTCCGGATGCCCTTAAGCAGTTCATTTAAATTCTCTTTCGGGATACTTCGCTGTTTATCTTCCTTATTCTTAGCTGAAATGATATTCCACAAAATGTAAAGTACCAGTACATTATTTATAAATTGAAATGAAATTGTCTTCAAATCTATGTAACTAGAAATCTTAGGATCACGAGTTTATAGAGGATTGTCATTTACAATAAATTTCCCATTATATTTATCTTTTTTTTTTAGTTATTAATCCCACGTTGAGATTCCCTTCACCATATAATTATTTTGAATAATCTAATCACAGTTATTTTTTTAAATCATTAAGCATATATTTTAATATATCAAATAGATTATGTGGAAATGAAACAACAGTTGCTGTTAGAAAGATACAAAAAATAAGCGCATAAAAGTGTTAAGAAGTTATAATTAAATAAAAATAGATTTTATGAATCAATACGATACTATGAACTAAATACTTTTGATAGGAAATACTTACATTTTTGAACTAAGTTTGACTGATGATAAAAATAGTATTCTTTATGTTTTAAGTAAAGTATCGTAGTGTTTCATAGTTTCTATATGGACTCATTCAAGATGTTGGGTTTTGCGAAGTTGTTTGAGAACGAAAGAACCGCAACACCAGGTACTGGCGCGAGGATTATGAGGGCGATAATCGTGCGGATGAAGGAGTGGCGTGAAAACCGGAGGCGAGGACGACCTTGACAGATCCGTATTGGACCTGTGCTGAGGTCGAACCAATTTGTCATGCATTTTTACATTACCACCAGTCAAAAGATCCACTTTTTTATATTGAAATACAGAGATTGAGAGACACCACCACCAAGAGAAGAATGGAACAAAACAGATAAGATTTATTTCGGGCGTTTCAGAAGAAGGTATGTCTGGTTCGTGTGTGTCTTACCTGTGTTAACAGTGTTTCTGGGACAGGCAAAGTAAGCCTCGATGACTTCGAGGATGTGAGCGTCATCCTCGAATGACACGGGTTTGCGAGTACTGTTCCGAGCGGGCGAAGAATTTCCGATAGCCGTGCAGGGACGGAGGGGCGGCGATGGCCGCAGGCAGCACGCCGACCACCCCCTGTTATTGTTTAAGGTCCCATGGGAGGGAGGCGTCACAGTACGAACGTTACTGCGATTACTGTTTGGCGTTGCGACCAACGCGGACATCTGAAAAAGATCATAAACAATAATAGATGATTACATACTAAAGATGATTGAATGAGTAAACATGTAGTAATTGTACATATAATTAGCAATTGGGCGGTTAATAAATTTGAGTAAAGGCAAGGGTTGCACACACAGTTGGATGTTAATCAATAAAATCGAGCAATAAAAGTAAACGTGTTTGTTGTTCAAAGCGTAAATCACAACAACAAAAACCACAGAGGTGCATCAACCCTTGCCTGTTTTCTTTTCCCTAGTCTCTTCATAAATCCCTTTCACGACCTCAGCGGGAATCTTGGCCTTGAGCCACCAATGTGCATACAGCCCGGACTTGTAAACCTCCCCTCTCTCCGGTTTCTCCTCCGGCGCGGTGACAATAGCACCCATGGACTTGCTGTGCTGCAGCTCACTGAATTTGGAATGGATTTGGTTCTCGGATTCCCAGGGAGTAGGCAATTTCGTAGGAATTTCTGCACTGGTTACGGATGTGTGCGTGGAATGTATTACTGGAACATCGGCGGAGGTGCGAGGAGTCGAGCCGAATGGGGAAGTGCATCTACATTGGGCCTCGTAAGTTTCCATCAAAGATATAATATTGCGATTCGCCATTTCTGTGCTGCAACGTGCTGGGAATTCTGAATTCAGTGTACAACTGCCTGCCATGCCAGAATCCGAGGAGCGCGGGCTATGCTGATCGGGGGAATAGTAATTGTTCAGGAGCGTGTAATTGTCCTCAAGCAAATCGGAACTCATTTGGATGCTGGACCTGCGCTTGAAATGTTTATCGGAGTTTAAACTGTGCTTCTTGAAGCCCACATTGCTCAGAGTCAAAGACTTTTTCTTGGCGCCGTTACTTTCGTCGAACATCGAGGGCGGTTTAAAAACTGTTTCTTCGTCGTCACAGTTGTAAAGTATATCCGCAAGCATTCCATCGGGTATAGGAAGAGTGTTCACCGCCAGATCGATCGAACTAGAATGTGATGAAGTTACGTCCCATTTTAACGCTAAATTATTATCACTTTGGCACGGAGGTATATACAACGTAGTTAAACTACATTCGTTGAACTTATCAGCTACCAATTTGTTCGGACAGCTTTGCCTTTCGATAGGTCTGTAATCTCCAAATCCGGGCCCGATCTCGAAACTTCCATTCAGCTTAGTCAAATTTTCCAGAGCGTTATTTGGAGTTACGCACGAGCTCGCCTCTGATTCTTGCGACAACTGCACCTTCAAACATTTATTGAAATCTCTCGGCGTAACAAGCTCTAGTTTAGCACTAGATGTAAGGACAATGCTCGGCTTCTTCGATTCTCTGGGCTGCGCTGCTTTAACGCGCGATTTAAAGTGATCTATGAAACTCTCGTTGTCCGTTTCCGTTTTCGATCCGGTCTGCGGATTGTAATAACGGATGTATCCAAATGGGTTACTAGACGATGACGACGTATCATTATCGTCGTCATCGTTGGAAGAGAAGCCATCAAAGGCATTTTGTCGGCACATTCGTTTGCTGTCGTCGCTGCTGCAATCACTCGATGAGTCCGTATCACAGTTGGAATCGTTTTTGAATATGAAACATTCAGATCGATGCAATCGCCGTTGCACGTTTGCGAAATTGTTCGGTCTACTATATTCTGGATATAGCAGTATCTTCAATAATTTTCTGGTAATCACTTTTTGTTTAAACAATTGGTGGTAGAGCTTCGACAACGCGGCATAAGGAGCTGTAGGTGGATAGTATTGACAAGGATACGTGGGGATGTAATCGTAGGTTGGTGTGTATTTTAATATCGATGTGCGAGTGCAATAACCGCGACTGTTCAACTAGTATTTTTGAAATTATCGAAAATTAATTTATCTTAATAGTTAATTAAATAGAAGCCCAATTGTAAAACACGATTTATTTTCTACGAGTTTATAAATTTGAAACTAATGAACCGTATTCAACAATTAGACTTAAAGCATAATTCAATGTTACTTACATGTGGAGGAGGTTGTGGCACCATTTCAGCTTGAGAGGGTGGGCTCTTATTGGAAATTGTGATCCTGTTTGGATTATACTTCCGTAAAATATCCACCCAATGATTAGCCTCATCCTTGCTTTGACAAACCGCTGTTACTTTATCGATCAAGGGCCCACTTATTTCAAATGCGTTCTTGTATTGATCACTATCTTCCAGTCGACTTACATTGATGCCCGTGACTGGTAATTTCCCCTAAAGAATATTCATATTAAATTAATTGTAAATTCCTAATTAATTTAACACAAATTATAATCCAACCTTACTAGAGCTTTGCCCGATGCACTTACTGATCAAATCAAACATTTTAACTGAGCACAAGTCGCCGCAGCAAACAGCTCTAGCAAAGTGATAATAATATGTATAAAGCATTTTCGTTAATTGCTGAATAATGAGCTTGTTGACATGATTATAGCTTGTTAATTTGTATTACCTCATAAATGAATGCGCTGAGCCTATGGCTAACCGAAAGGATCAATAGAGTCGTTGGAAACAAAACTAGGTATCTATCGAGATGCTGAGGTCCGACAGCAACGGAACCCATATAGATGATATCCCCTAAACTGGATAAACTTTGCCCTTCCCAACCTCTGACTGGTCCCGTCAAAACTTGTAGCTCAAGTTCCTTCTGTCTCCTAGTTGCTGCGCACGAAGTCTATAAAGAAACCCCAAAATATAAAACTCAACATCAATTACATCAATAATCAATAAACTTACATCAATTTCTTTATAAACTGCAACCGATCTTTGTATATCACCCCTATCCGGGTGACTGTCTTCCACGTGTCTTTCCACCTCTAAAAGCATTCCCGAATATTTAGCCAACCTTCGGAAAGGCTTACTTAATCCAGTAGTTAGAACCAAAACTCCGGGACTATTAGCTCCGCACGACTCCATGTACTTCGTCAATTCCTCTCTTAATATAACAATAATGATTATTAAAAAGAAGCAATATTAATGATAACTCTTCCTTACTTATATTTATCTAAAATACAGACAGCTTTGGGATGCAGTGAGCAATACGCTTGATGTATGGCTTTCATCCTCGGTGCGTGCTGCAAAAAGTGCCTTCCAATCTTTTGCTCTTTATGCGGCTTCTGATTCTCATCTCCGATAAACTGCAGCAAAACTTGATGGGTCTCTAGCACTTCCGTGAAGTTTCCAATAAGTTGTTTGTATTCGTCCGTGGTTAATCTGAGGGAAGTTTCAGTTTATTCCTCGTCCGCTCCACCGGTATAGCACTTACATTGTACTCCTTTCTAAAGGCATCAGAAAGTTCGTAAACAACCCCTGCAACTCGTCGACGTGCGCTTTTTCAGAGTCCAATAAATCCTTATAAACAATCGAGATGTTCGCAGCGTCGTGAGAATTGTGCAGAACAATCGCTGGATCTACAATTAATTCATACAATTTTTAATTTTATAATCATTCGCAATGATGCGTATACCAACCTTTTACTTCCCTAACATAATTGCTAGGAAACCACCCAGTAATTTCACCCAAAGTCCCTTCCCACCAACCTCCATCTGGGCATTGTGTAATTGTTATAAAATCTCCTTTTTGGAAGCATAGCTGAAAGCAATAACCTTATTATAATAACACTTCAAAAATAACAAGGCTGACAGATCAAATGGTCAATGGCCTAATGACCTACCAACAGCAAACGTTTTTATGTTAAGTATATATAGAATTATACTGTTATTTTATAAATCTATAATCTGCAAACATAATTATTAATCATTAATTATCTTTAACATTTATAATATTAATTAATATTTTTATGTAAGATAAAATTAACACCAATTATACATGCTACATTTGTATTTGAAACAAAAAACAAATCAAACAAATATATACAATTAAAATTTACTCACCTCGTCATTATTGGTGCCCTTAAAGGAATAAAGGGCTTGCACTATTTGAGCGTCGGATGACATCTCGTTAACTGCACAAAACACAAAGCAAACAATTAGCGATTCACTTCTTCAAAAGTAGAGAAAAAAATTAACGAATGTTACTTTATTTCAATGCATTTTGGCCATGGGAAAAATCGCGCAGAAAGTTTCATGAGTGCGGAGCTCTGTCAACATTCTTGGCAACGAGATTTCAGCTGCTGGCTTGGCAAAAGGCCAACGAAAATTATAAATGGAAGAAGTGTGTTTACTGACGCTTCAATAACTATTTTTTTTTTCCTTAAATTCTTATTAAACCATTAACTTACAGTTTTACTTTAAATTATTTACCTAATACCGGCATTCAATATCTAAATCTTTCTAGAAGGTTTTTCACTCATAACTCTTCGACCACGTGTGAATATGTGTCTTGTTACTATAGTGAATCATCTTTGTCAAGTGTAAAAGCACAACTATAACGCTGTTGAAATTATCAAAAGAACCCGGTCACTCAACCAAGTAATTTTAATATTCATTTAATATTGTATCATATTTTATTCTTTAACTTCTAATAATTGAAATATATTAGTACAGTTGATTGAATTATATTAGAAAACTATGTGACAAAATATAAATTCTGGAAATAGTCTGATCTTAAAATAAATGCATGGAAATAAAAATAAACCCCCCCAAAGTGAAGATATCTTTACAATTGGAGAAACTCTTTCTTTGGAATTCCTATTGGGTCAACAGCATTTCGGACAATTTTAGGTATAGGAAGATCTTTTAACATCGTTGAAATTGATGTTTCGCAAATCAATCAGTTGATCTATCATACCGGTAATTTTTGTTTATACATCCATCGTGTATATATTGAATTCTAATTTGGCATTGAAACTATAATTAGTGGCCGAATTTGTTTTATAAACAGTATAAACCCCGATAAAATATTGTTGCTACTTTTGAGTTAAATTTAGGCCTTTGTATATAGAGAGTGTTGCAAGGCATACTTTTTTCCCTGCTCAAAGCACAAAGCGTAAATTTCAATGGGCGAATTCATAAATTCGGAAAGTGGGTATATCCCAGTTTCTAATAATAAATCGTGAATTACTCGACGATTTTACTACGCGGAAATCATCATTCATACATTCTTTTCTCCTCACTCAACCATTTAAAACTTAAACAATGGTGACGTAAATATTATAATGATAAATTTGGTGTAGTCATAATAATGTAATGAGTCTAATATTAAATAGATTTGCAATGAATCAAAAACCCAGAAAGCAATACTTTTGTTCAATTAAAAATAGAATTAATCAGCCACATATCTTATATATTTGTTACATACCTAAAAATCAAATAATGAATATATGAAAGAATTATTATTATAAAAACATATTTTATTTATTACATAATGAAATTAAAGATTCAATCATACTTCAATTGCATACAAAACTAATTAGAAATAGCATTCAAAAGTATTAATTAAGGCAATACATAATTAATTGAATAAGTGCAGTAATTGTACAGGTTGGAATTCTGATAGGGAAAAATAAGAAAGAAACAAATAATACTCACACAAATCCTATTTATAAACAAATTATTAAATAAGTATATTGCGGATAACTAATAAAACTTGCTGGATAAATGAAAACTACAATATAAAACAGGAAAAAACGTCAAAAATATCAACAAACACTGAATGAAATGAATCACTTTTCTTGTGTTGGTATCTTCCTGAAGTGTATTTATTATCGATTGTATTATCGATCTTTGTTGATTTTATTTATACCACAAATTAAATTTACAAGGAATTTATTATTCTAAGAGATTTATTACTTACTGTAAGTTAAAAATAAATAATTTAAAATTAAATAATGATAATTTATAAATATATATAATATAAAAAAGAACATTTTAATTAATTACTAAAAAGTCAATTAATAATGACTTATGTAACTAAATTGTTTCATTATAAATAATATTAATTTATTGAAAATGTTTCGTAATTTATAAAGTAATGTGTTATGCAACCAAATTTACACAAATGAAGTTAGCTTTATTTCCAAAAAGGAACTAGTTTATTGACAAGAAAGAGTAAGTTGTTATTGGTTGTTATTTTACAACAATCAAAGCAAAGTTGTTCATGTTGAAAATAAAGTTGAGGTTTCATTAAGAGAGATTTATTTACTGTTCTAAAGTAGTTTAACGATATTCTGTTAATTTATAACCTGCACAATGACTGCACCAATGGAAAGAATTTCGGCGTTGGATACGATTGAAAAAGATATAATAACTTGTTTACACAGTGCAGGTATGAAATATGAATCAAATATAAACAAATTTAATAACGTTTCTTGTATTGCTTATTAGGTCAAGTTTTTGTTGAGTTGAGCAAGGAGAAATTGAGTCTGAAGCAGGCCGAAAACCATACCCAAACTTTCCTGAAAACCCTGAGCGCAGTTGAAAACAAACTCACAGAGCAAATAAATTATTTGACCCAAGTATCAACTGGACAACCCCATGAAGGATCTGGATATGCCTCACAGAAGGTTCTACAAATGGCTTGGCATAGGTTGGAGCATGCCAGATCCCGTGTGAATGAATTGGATAGATTGAAATTAAAGCATGCTCAAGGAAGGACAGCTGGACGTAGCTCTAGTGGAGGGAATGGAGCAAGCACATCTACAGCAATTGCACCAGCCACATAATGTTCAAATATATATGTCCAATTTGTAAGTTTATAATATATGTATTTTGTAAGTTTTATAATATAGTCCAAGTTTAATATTAATTGACGCCATTGATTTGTCGCTCCTGCTGCATGAATTGCCACTTCCTCACTTCATTTCCTATCCTGGTAACATCTGCTGCATAAGTTCTGCAACAACCTCCAATGTATTTGACTCCCAAGTCCAGCCATTTGTGGATGTAAGTTTCCACTGGTTCACACTTCTCCCTGTCAATCCATCTGGAATATTCACTTTTCATAAATACAATATCGGTTAGATTGCTAAGCCACGTGAATGCCTTCAAAAGCAGATGACGCGAATTAGCCAAAGCAATTATATGATAAATCAATAATTAATTCCAGCCAATGATTCTCATACTATTATTGAGTATTGATGAAATGTAATTTATAACTGTTCTTATTAATTGAAACCATTGATTTTTTTAAATGAAATGAAATCAATACTTTCAAAGAGATTGATTGAGGGTGTAGGAAGTAAAAGAGTTTAATTAATGTAATTGACTGTATAAACTTTACCCCTGTTCCACATTGTAACTTTCTCCACTATTGGGGTATACGATCAATGGAATCGGTCTGTTCTCTCTGCCTTTGTTAATGCCCGTAAACAAAGACTCCACTAGTCTTGGTGCTAAACAATTGGCGCCAACGGCCACTAATTGCTGAGGATTCATCTCGTAACACTTTTTAGCAGTTTGTTGGAAGTTCTCCCCGTAAGCGGTGGACTTTCCATCTTGCTGCGCAACATATAAATCGAATTAATTGTCTAATGTATTTTATTAAGACTTACGCCACAGCTGAAAGCCAGCCACGCCTTAACGCTAGGAAATTCTTTGATGAGTTGAACTAGCATCTCCGCTTCAGCCTTGCAAGGTATCGTTTCTAAAGCCAACATATCGACGCCGGCTTCAACGAGAGCTGCGATTCTCGGCCTGTGCCAATCCCTCATTGTTTGCACTGGCGTCGTCTTTGCATAAGACCCTGAGTATTCAGAAGCGTCATGTAGCGATGCACCGTACGGACCCACAGATCCAACAATCAAAGGCCTGTCATTATCTGCAAAATCAAAGCTCTAATGATTTATATTTTAGGATTAATTATGATTATCATACTGAATTTGGCGTAATCTGCCACTGGAATGTATTCTTTCTTAAACCTTTCTAAGGCGCTTTTGGCCAAATATACGGCTTCCTTAATGAGAGCATAAGATTCCTCCTCGGTCAGATTCAAGTGTTCCTTGAAGCCGCCGATGCTTGCTTGATATGTATTAGTTTCGATGATGTTTGATCCAGCTAAAAATCATTGAAATCAATTAAGTTCATCCTTTAAATCACTTCCTCGATTGCTACCTATTAAGAAGTCCAGATGCGTCCTTATCACAGCTTCGGGGTCGGTCGACAAAAATCGTGCGCTCCAGAGGACATCCCCGTCGATCTGATTCCGGACGTGACAACTCAATTGAGATGCGAACCCTCCATCTAAAAGTTTAATAGTTTGGTAGTCTTCGGAATCTTGTTTGCAGGCGGTCGAGCTTCCGTTTCCTGGTGGCATCGTACTCTGCAAATAACAACGGGATTAATGTATGCGTACGATGGATGAAATGATGGGATATGGATGGATTCGTTGCATTTTAGATGGTCTGAAAACAAGTGATAATGCAGTTCGAAACCGCGAGCACTAATTAATATTTAATTGGAAATTTATTGCCATAATTAATTTCGTACATGCTCCATTTTGATTTATCGGCAACTCTATCGAATATTCTTTGTGCATTAATTAATATGCAAGCACGTCTGGATTACGCGATCATCCCGACTGGTCGGAATTTATCAGAGAAGTTAATTAATATGTGAGAGCTTTCAAATCAAAGTATAATATAATCTCTTTTAGACTGAAAATATAACTCTTTAATTACATATTTTTAAATATTTTGTACATTTCAAGAAGCAATATAAGAAAAATAACATAAAAATGCTTTATCTACGTGTTTGGAATTTAAATTATTTATGGAATAAAATTGAACTTTGATATTATTATGCATGCACGTATACTCGCCTGAAAACATTAATTGAATTAGTTTTAAAATGCACGTTTCAACAAGTTAACACCGAATAAACACAGCCGTGCTTTACATCTAGAAGCAAAGCAACAAATTCGAGGAACTCATTCATGTTTCATTCCATTTTAATTTAGAAATTTCAATTAACTTGTAAATATTCAGAACTTTGTACCAAATTAAATGATAATTAACAATTTATACTTAGTTAATACCTCAAATTATATAATATTTAGGTAATGTTGTTACGTATATAGTCGAGTTTCGTTCAGTCCGGATTCACTATAGTCCGATTTGAAAATTTGAAAACAAACTAAATTTTAATACAGCAATACGAAAATAACACATAACACAAAAATTATTTATTGTTGTTTTTCACTTTATGCAGTCTTTGCTTGTGTAGTTTATTGTTATGTGATGTTAAAGTCCTCGATTAGACCCGTTTTAAACAGTCCGCGATATTGGCGTAACCGATCATTATTATTATGCTTGTAATATTTCACATCAAACAAACAAAACAAAACATGTAGAACTTTCGTATGGAAGGAATTAAAATGTGATGATTCGTAATCATTAAAACGCGATCTTGTTATTGAATCAAGGCGTAATTAATATCGAAACCGTTTTTTTCTTAAAATAAATTTAATTGAACGGTTTAGCGTTGAATTGTGTGCAAATTGAATTAAAATTTATTATTAAACATGATGCTGGATGTGTACGTGCACCGATCACGTAAAAACATTATTAATACCGATGAAATTGTACAGATGTTTATCATGACTTGCATTCAGTGTCAACAAAAATATCTCATAACACGGGATAAACCAAGGAGTGAGAGAAAAAAACAACGTGGGTTTGTGATAATACAGGGTCAACAACATCGATACAGCTGTCCACAATAATACGTTAATCATTTTTTTCTCACGGATTTTTTTCATCGTTTCATATATTAAAAGCGTTGTATATACTCAATGTTATGAATATGCTTGATGATTACATTAATCATTCCAGTGATGATAATGAATTACAAAGAATTTTATAAAAGTATTGAACAATTATTTATTTCCATTGGATTAATTTTATATTTAATATCATTCTTTAATGCAGCGCTTCTCAAACTTTTTGGTCTACGACTCACTACGATGGATATGTGTAGAAAAAATATCCAGGATTGATCAATTTTTCTGCAACCCTCCATTTTGAGAATCAACGTTTCTAATGTATTTTTATTTTAACTTTTTATATGCTTTGTACACAAAATCATTGGGGTGATGATAAATTTTACAAATGTATTGAAACAATTGAAATTTTTCTCTAATTAAATCGAAAATGTTTATTTCATTTAATTCAATTTTCATACACAGTCATACCTCGCTCAAAATTGCTTCTGATAAAGAAGCTTCTATATAACGAAGCAAAATATGACCAGACGTTATACTACAAGAAAAAAATGTCCAAGAAATTTGAAGTTTTTTCAGTGGAAGATTTATACTACATTCATCTAAACGAAAGAAAATTAGAGAAGTTCTTAACAAAAAATGATTTTTTTTTACTAAATATGGTCATGATTTATGGATTTATTAAGAAATAATAATACAAACAAACAATTTTAGATTCATATTTTAAACTGTGAGTTCAATTTGTAAGTTGACTGGTCAACTTTTTTTTTGTTCATAGTGTTTTCTACCTCTGAGTACGAATTCGTTAATCGAACCAAGAGTGTACTTTTTTTTAAATCTAATTTTGTATTCAATGTTTGTATCCAATGTTCTCGTATAATAGGGGCATGATTCCAAGTATTTATAGGGATGCCAAACATTGAACTAAGTAAGTGACTGTTTATACGATATAAAAATAAGATAGTTACAGCCTTGACGAATTAATTTTAATCTTTCTTTTGTAAATTTAAAACACCTTTTCTATAAAAAAGATGTAACATTTTAGAATATTCATCAATTTTGGTAGTTGTCTACAAAATGTTGATAATTTTAATTGACTTATCAAAATACTTCAATTTATAAATATGAAAAAGTGAACGTCGTTATTGTTTTATTGAAAAATCAATATTTTCGGTAAGTGTCAATATTTTATAAGATGTATTTGATTATTTTTACGTAAGGCCAGAACAAATTTCAAATGAAGTATAAGCACTTTAATATATGACACAATTATAGTAGTTGTCTCCAAATATTCGTATTCTATTATTTTAATAGATTTATAGAAATTAGTCAATCATCATTTGTTGATTAATTAGGATTTGTAATTAATTATCATTTAATCAGTATGAGATAAGAAAATGTAAAACACAATAAATAATTGAATAGTCAAGAAAATAAGAACAAAAAAAAAGTAACAGATTGAAAGTGTAGACGGTAAAAGATTTGGTCGATTTTAATCTGGAAATCTGTTTGTTGCTTATTATGGAGACAAATGTGTTTACGGAGCGAGCGTTCGCTCAGTCCATATATCCGAGGCAGGTACAATAAAGATAAGGTAACTTCGGAAGAGTATTAGAAAACTTTCGGAGTAAATATTTTTTAATATAAATTTTCTCCTTCTACAAGGCTGTGTGACTGTGTGTGTCGGTGATTGCACATTTATACTCGGCCAGTAAGTTGCGCAACTTTCCAATCTTCATTAAAGCAACCAAACGCAAATGGCCCGGCAATAACTTGACGGCAAAACGCGTCGCATCGTTTCACGTTCTTTTTTTTTTATTATTAAATTTAAATGAAAATGGAAATGAAATATTTTCTTCAACAATTCTTTTGATTGCGCTGCGAAATTAAAGAAAACGCTTTATATCTGTATCTCTTTATATCTTTCATTCTGTATTCATATTTTATAAAAGTTTTGACTGATTTACGTGTTAGAATTTTTAGTCATCTTCAATCTATGCTAATAGGTAATAGTATGTTATAGAAAATTAGTAAGAAGAATCATACAACAATACCTCGCATAGTCCGGGTCGATTCTACGAATGTTCCTGTTTGAAACAGGACTAGTCAAAGACTTTAGAAAGGGAAAAAATGATAATTCATGTAAAAACAATAATATTGTGTACTTATGTATAATTCTATTTTTAAGACACAAAAGTTTCGATCTTTTGATTTAAACTGTAAAATACATAGATAGTTTTAAGGTTTTTGCAGAAGTTAAGTTGAAATATTACTACAAGACTGTATTTTTACATAATAATAAGATTTTCTACTTGAGAAAGTTCATTCAAGTTATGTACAAATATAAATATTTTGAAATATACTTAAATATATATATAATTATTATAAATCCCTATTTAGATTTCAATTGCAATTAAAAACAACATTTTTGTTGGAAGAACTAAAAATTTTCACCTTGTAAGAACAAAATTAGATTAGCAACATTAAGTAATTATATATGTATTGGAGCTTAAAAACAAAACATGATTAAATTTTATAAAATTATTTACAAATTTTGTATAGGAATTTGAAGAATGATGCAAGATATAGTATTATTACTTTAGTATATTCTAAGCGTTGATTATAAGTAAGGAAGTTCAGCTTGGCAATAACAGAATATTGTTGTGACTATTTTATATGATTAAGAAATGAAGAAAGCGGAATAGCTTAGATTCGTGCGGACTTGTTTAAACAAGACGGCATAATACGACGATGATATAACATTGGCAATTACGCATGGTGTTGATACAATGCGACTTGTTATTCGGTATTCGCTTCAATGATCGTGATTATTCTCTTGTTTTGCCTATACGTATACGCTTGGAAAACGCAAATTATTATCAAAATTTATATTGGGGTTTGCAGATAATTGTACATAAATTCAAATGGTCGGCTATCTTGGGTATTCATCGTTATTTAGGCTCTAATGTTTTGGACCTTCGAAATAAAGGCTTTAACTAATTTGTCTCGGGAAAGGCTATTAGATTTCGAATTCACCAAAGTTTAATTGTTTATTTATTTAAAGACGTTCGGTAATTAGTGTAGGATAATATTTGAGTTGGATCGGAGTTGGAGCTTAATAATACGATGTTAATTGACGTCTGGAGTTTTGGGAGAATTACGGATATTACGATTTTATATTGTTATGTAGTTGATCGATAGGTGAATTATCATAGTTACCAACTGATATGATAACAACACTTTAACTTATTTATGCGGTGGATTAACTAGGGAATTGAACTTAAACTCTCGATACGGAACGAATGTGTTTACATACAGCATACATTGTATAGTGCACATCGACCAGTGTGCATTACCTTACTAACGATTTAATCTGCATTGTATATAGTTAAAGTTTATATTCGTATTATCATATGGAGTTAGAAAATAAATATCCACTATATATATATTTTATGTTAACTTTCAAGATATTACTTTAGATCGATAAACGAATATGCATATTATATTAACCTCTTGACACGTTCCAAACGACTATATATATATAGTATATTTTAGAATTTTAAGTTTACAATTTATTTATTTATTATAAAAAATTATTGTTG